ACCTATTATTATTCGTCTTGTTTAATGAAGTTTTTCTTCAAACCAATATAACTGTTACTTCTGTGGTTGTGTTAAAGGATTAAAAGATAGACTCAAAAATGTATATACAGTAGACCTCCCTATAACGCAGGTTCATATAATGCGGATTCATATATCACGGCGAAAAAATTGCGACCGTATTCATATAAAGACATTAAAAGAGACTCGTAAAATGCGGTAAAATGTCATCACCGACTCGTGTCGCTACAGGATTGGTCGAATCTGGACCAATAGTGGACAAGCAGCCGAACTACTTACACGCTATGGAGCGTTTAGGCGGGCAAGTTGAGTTTACTATCGTCTGTACAGTATATAGGCCTAAATTAGGTACTGTAAGTCTAATACAGTACTTTAATTTTATACATTTCTTGTAAAAAACATTTCTTATTCAATGACCATAAAAATTATTTCTATTAATGATGTCTCCAAAGTTCAACAAATTTTGATCGGAAAAACAACTTATCAGAAAACGCACCTGCCATTTGGTGCGCTGCTCCGCGATGAAAACAAGCTTAAGCAACGGTGTCGTCGAACAGTGCACACTCGGTAAGTAATCCTACAATTTTTTGTTTATAGCATAGTTTATACCAGGGGTGAGCAACCTTTTTAATCATCTTATGTGCTACAACTCCATTTTCCAATTTAACAACAAGACCTATTTACAAAAACGAGGGGTACCCATGGGCAGCCCGCTGTCTAGCGACTTATGTGAGCTGGTATTATGTAGATTGGAAGAAACAGTCATACCAAAGTATAGTTCTAATATATTTATAAGAGATATGTGGACGATGTCTTTATTCTGTGGAAAACGAAACCAACATCAATGAGTTTTTGAGCCACATGAACAAAAATCCATACGGGCTTACCCCGAAACTAGATCAATTAACTACCACCAATGCACACTTCCTGGACATAAACATCATGCTCAACGGTGGAAGTATTGATATGGGTATATATTATAAACCCAGCTACATCCCATGGTTTATACCGGCAAACTCAGCAGACCTGTACAATTATAAAATCGCAGCATTCCGGGCGTTGGTTAGAAGAGCATTTACGCACCCTTCTAAATGGAGTGACACGATAGCTGAGTTACAAAATATAGAACGCATTGCAGTCACACATGGATACAGAAAAGAACTAATACGAGGGCTGGCAAATGCCTATTTATGAACAAATGAAACACAAGAGGCACCTATTACTCAAAATGCTAATCAAGATTCAAACAGAAGAATCAACATCGTTGAATACAGCAAACATTTTCAAGCGTTATATAGAGAAATTGCAACTAAAACGAACACCAAGGAAGCGTATCGAAGAACCCCCAATATATATCAATTACCACGTAATGCAAATGATAAACAGAACGATCTTAGAGCTCCGGGGGTATATAGTATTCCTGTAAAAGATGATCGATTTAAACAAGAAATGGTATACATCGGCTCCACGAAGCATTCAATCCAACAGAGAATTAAGGAGCACAAATATGACATAGAACATGCTCGTTACACCACTGCACTATCCACCTACACAACCGACCCGGATATTCACGCAGAACTATCAAAAGCCAAATTAATAAATAGAGCTTTTAATACGGACCACATCAGAGCCCTTGAAGCCCTGGAAATCTAAAAAGCCAGCAGGACGGGGAGATGTATAAACACCAAAGACAGCAACGCGCTTTCTTATGCATGGCGTTACGTATGCGAAGAACAAGAAAATGATGACGATACGTAACACGCACATGAATTCGATTATATTTGAAAACTAAACGTTCATTTTAAAAATGGAATCCAAGTATTTTAACCTGAAGCAGGCCTCGACTGAAGCCGAAAACGTTTGTTTTTATGATTAAGTTACAAGTACCGGATAAAAAAGGTTTAGTAAGTGAGATTTTATATTAGAATACCGGTATTCAGAGTAGAAGATTTTTGAAAATAATTGTTTGCAAACATACGTACTTCTGAACAGAGACATCATTTGCTTTGCATTTATCGTCAAAAGTGGAAATTTTTCAGGGCTCACATAAGATTTATAAAATTTTAGATGTTTACTGAGAAAAATACATTTTTTAAATCGGTATTATTCTGCATGTCAATCACTTCCATTTGAAAGTCTTTGGAAACTGTATCCACATCGATATTAAATGGCGAGGAAAACATTTTCATGGAAACCGCTGTCTTCTCAGCTTTGAACATTTGGAATCGTAATTGAAATTCGNTATAATAAATTTTTAACGAATAAAACTTTTAGTAGAGTTTAATATATATTTAAATGAATTTAAGATCCATCATTAACTTCTATTCTAAATGACAACTGAAAATAAATCATTTCATTGATAACCTTGACTTTTATTTCATAATTAGTATATGATACAGACCTACATTTTAGAAGTTATAATCAATGATTTATCAGAATGTGTGTCATAACACGTGTTGAGAAAATTTACCACTTACAACGACTAAAATATATCGTGCCTACTAATTACGAAACGGCACTTAGCGCAGTATTTCTTGATCAATAATTCATAAATCAATTCAGTGAAGAGATAAATCATGCTGATTTTAATCAATATTAGATATAATTTTATTTCATCAGTAGAGAACTTTTTTCCATTCTGAAATTATATAGATAGATAATTCTAGAATAAATTAGAACGATATCAATTTTAGGGTGTTGACCTCTTATTTTGAATTCATCGATTGGAATTTCAATCGGTATTAATCCAAGAATATCAGCATTAATTTGAATTTGATTGATTTTTCTTGAATATGGCTGAGTTGAGTGAAATAAGATTTATTAAATTTTCTACCGTAACTTATAAATATTATAATAATATATTTAAAAATTTCTGAGAAATTATGTAATTAAAAATTTTACTNCAGTACTGTAATTTTATACATTTCTTGTGAAAGAAACATTTCTTATTCAACGGCCATAAAAATTATTTATATTAATGATGTCTCCAAAGTTCAACGAAGTTTTCACAGAAAAATAACATCAGAAATCACAGCCGCGGTTTGGTGCGCTGGTCCGCGACGAAGACAAGCTTAAGCAATGGTGACGGCGAACGGTGCACACTTGGTAAGTAATCCTACAAGTTTTTGTTTATAGCATAGTTTATACGGATTATTCCCAAAAAATTATACGTGTTTTGGAAATGTTGAGTCGAATTAGTCTAGAATCGATTAATTTTATGGAAGAAAACCTTTCAAACAGCTGTAGTCCATAAACTTCACACGTGTCGGGCTGTGATTGGCTCAAGTATTTAAGGATTCCTAGAATGCAAAATTCATATAACGAGGAACATATCTCCGCATTATAGGGTGTCTACTGTACTTTGTAATATATGGTACCCATTGTATTTACTACTATCATTTTGTAATTTACTGTAACTTACTGTATTCAAACCCATTACTGTGCCATTACTCTTACTATATGTCAACCTCCAACTTGTAATCACAATCTAATGTCTATAATTCAGCAATGCTATGCGGTACTGAGTATGTACTATTTTAGTATGTAAATAAATATAGATTGATTGATTGATTGCTTGGATAAGTGCATTACCATTAAGGTGACTACTCCAAATTATCTTGTAAGTTTTTGTTCAAGTGGGTATAATATTATAAAGAAATCTGAGCAAGTCGTTAAAACTCATATATATGCAATATTAAAAAATTAAATTTTGTGAATGTTGAAATCATTTTTTAAAGCAATCAAATGATGATAAATGCAAGTAATAAGAAACTTCAAGTAAAATCATATAATAATCATTAACTGATTTGAAAGTTTTCAATATGGGAAATGAAATCATATAATTTTTAATGGTAAGAAAATAACTGACCCGGGGCAGGACATGAACCCACAGCCTCTGCTTGCCATGCAGTGTGCTAGCAATTGTGCCACCCGGACCCTGAGCCAGCTTTAGCTTCAAGAAGTACTTAAATTTTGATATAATCTTCCACGGTTATATCAAAATTTTCTTCCCGAAGGTTCTAAATTATTTATTAAATTATAATTATTAATTTAGATAAGAGATGGTGCCTAACTTTTACCTCTAGTACCAATTTGTATTAATTATTTGATTATAGCCATATTATAGCCCAAATATTTAGGAAATCTTTGGATTATTATATTCTAATAATCATGTTATATATTTGAGGAATAGGATATAATCAACTGTCCCAATAATATTGATATTGTTCTTGATATCAAATATTTTTACACTTTTTTAAAAAAATCTTATGGGAATTAAGAGAACCAGATATCAAATTTGACATTGGCAATTGTGATTTGCTTGGCCAATATTGAATCATCTGCATTTCTATCATTTGATTGATTGGAAAAATAGGCAAAGATTTTATAGAAGGATGCATCGATTTGAAGTCCAAGACTCATATATTCATTGTCCATTAGAGAGGTGCCTTTGAGAATTTCTATAAGCTGCAGTGAGGTGTTAATTGAGAGAGAATGGTGGTGATTGTTTTAGGCAAAGATTAATTTATAACTATTATTGGCTGATGTTAATACCTTATAACATACTAAATCAAAAAGAATAAGAGAGAGTACAGTACTTTATTTAGAAGATATTAATGCACTTTAACAGTTGGTAAAGTTGAAGAAATGTTTTTGACCTGGTTAATGGGCCATCTTCAAGCATATACATGAATTTAAGTGTTAAAAACATTAGCATTCCTTTAACTTCACCCACTGTTAAAGGTGTATTGACTAATTTAGCTGATTAACTACAGTAGCTAGTTCATTCTTTGGAAAATGTTAATTTAGAATTTATAAAATTTGTATTTATTTTTCTATGTCAAATACATATCCTATAAATAAAATTCTAATATTCATGAAATTGCTTATTCACAGAATAAGATGATTACTTATTCAAAATAATAAGTTATCCTTTATTTTTTGATACTTAATGTTTGAAGAATTATCAATAAAAATATTACCTCCAAAAATTGTTAATGTTTTAACTGGTTTTGTTCTTGATTCATTAACAATATCATCTGCCACCTGTTTATAATCTTGGAATAATACTTTCCAGAATTCAGCTAGAAATTAAAAATTAAATAAGAAATGAATATTAATTTCATTTTAAAAATAAGCATTCAACAATTTATTAAATAATGGTATTTAAGAAATTATAAAAATTTTCAGTTATCAGATGCTAATTCAATGACAAAAGTTACTAAACCAATTATACAGTTACCTTTAAAGTACCTTAAACTAAATAAAATTACTTTTTTTAAGACCAAAGAGTTCTTAAAAATTTGAAACTGATAATTATAAATTTGTTTAATTTTCATACAAATTCTTATTTAAATTTTTAATGATGCTAAAATGCTCTGTTTTGTTTTGTTCTTTGGAAAATGACAGGATTTTTAATGATGGACTTTCATTATAAATCAAAATGTTTAAATAATAATTATGTACTAACTTTGACTACAGGGATTGGCAACAGGTGACCTGTAGGCTTAAATATAATTACACAATTCTTTATGAAACTTTCATTACAAGAAAAATACACTTTTAAATATTTTAAATATTAATGTCTATTTTAAAAAGACCTATACATTCAGTTTGGTAATGTCACATGTATGGTCTTTGTGTTGGATATTTTTTAACACTTGTTTTTACATAAACAAAACAATAATAATAAGGATATTATTTTATTGTGTTGATACTCCAGCATGACATTAGAATTCTCAGGATTCTCTTTATTAAAAAATAGTCCATCTCTAACTGTAGTATCCTTTTATAATTTAAGTGAATATTTGTGGCTTGTTTCTTAAAACTAAAAAATGTAATTTGGCTCATGAATCTCAGAGATGTATACTGTAAATGTACTGCTTATCTGCTGCCAAATTTCCAAGATTATTGAATTAAAATATTGTGGTTCAATCTAAAGCTGAAAATCAGAAAAATTAAATTATTATTAAAGTTAAATTATTTAGAACTGTATTGTTCTATTCACAAGTTTATTTACAATAAAATAAAATTTAAAAAGAAAATCTAATCAAATTTAAATTTTTCTTGCCTTTGCATTAAACAAAATCAGAAAGATTGATGAAATCAAAGTTGCTAGTTGACATTCTATAGAAAGGACAAATTTGATGTGCATTCTCAATCACTTGTTGGAAATTTTTTGACATATATGTGATAAAAATATATTGTAATAGAGTTATATTACTTATTTGAAGGACTATGCACACAGCAAATATGAGAAGACACATTTAGAGGAATGGTAAACATATGCCCATAACAGATAAACAGCTATGGAACGTTCAAGGTCATACCCATATCTTGTACAGGGATCGAGTCAAAAGTGTTATGAAGAAAACAGGGATTCCCACTGTCAGCTCTTGGATTCATCCATCAGGTTAGCATGCAGCACCATTTTAACTATTGGTTTAAACGGAGAATCATCATGCACTGATAAGAAATTGCAGGGATGTGTTGGGGCAACATAAATTATGACAAAGGTTGCCAGATATTTTTAGTTTTTTAGTCCACAGCACACAAATGTTTGCAAGGCACGAGGAGATCTAAGTGTCCCTCATGCATCACACCCGTGGCACTTGCCCCATTGCTAATACATCTGCCATCAAGCAGAAGATATTAAGAACTTATAAGCAGATAAAGGAAATGGAACCAACCATATCAGTTTTTATCATATTAAATCTTTGTTTTCTCCTTTCGTATAAATGTGCATATATTTAAAAAGAATCTTTGATAGAATAAAAATACAATAATATCACTATTATGATCAATATATTCATTGCAGCTTCCAAGAATACAGCTAAAAGAAAGATTCTTTCACATAAACGAGCAATTAAACTCAATTTTTTCCGTTTTTACAAGCCGAATACGTTATACTTACCCCATCTTTCTATTCTACCACCTTTATATTTTTCAGGAAGCTTAAACTTTTCTTTAACAGCTAAAAAGGAATTTGATAACCGTTTTTGCAATATTCGAAACGAATTGCCTGTTAAATAACTCATTACTCTTTACTTAAAGCCACATGGATATATTTATGCCAAATTCTTAACAGTTTACTAATAAAAGTAGCCAAAAGCCGTAAGTAGAGAATTTAATCGACTAAGCTGCCGCATAGTAGTCAGAATCTGAAACTAACACGAAAAATTCTATCTTTTTTCTGTTTATTCGTTTTTTCTATTAAAAGTGTATTAGCTTTGCTGTGATCAGAAGATTCGAGAATAATTATTTGTTAACAAATATGTAGAATTTTTTCACGGAAATAGTTCAGATTAACCTCAGAGGGAATCATTTTAAAAATCGCCGTGCACTAAATTTTGGCTAAAACTATTCGTTCTAAGAGCCGACATGTTGGTTCTTAAAACGGCCTTAAGAAAGGTTACTAATTAATGGGTGCGTTTGCTTCTCTACCATCACGGCGATGGTAGAGACGCAGACGCACCCTTGTAAACGCAAAAGGCATTTGGGAACGATGGTGGAATAAAGAAAAAGATGGCGGCGGCCGTACTATCAACAGTATCGTGATGGAGGAAACTATGATTTTAAAATATGCAATTTTAGAGACAAAATTTAAAAGAAGGACACCAACTGTAAAATTTAATCATAAAATGGATTGTCTTGCAGACAGAGCATTCAAAGTAGCTATGAAAAAGTTAGAATGCCGGATACCATTCGTAAAAAATTCTAGATGACACTCACATCATGTGCAATGATGTGCGCTTTCACAACTTCTAAATTTTCATTCTTAAAACCATATAATGGACACTGAAACTAAACTATCTGAGACATGAAGGATGCCATGTTGCTTTCCATCGTCAACTACTACTACAAGCCGCCATTTTTGCCGTCCGTCGGCGCGCACTCCGCCGGAGTATAAAAACGCGTTCAGCAGGAATTTTTAATTGGATGCCATGCCGCTCGCGCAGAGTTACGCGGGGGAATAAAAGAACGCACTCAATGTGGTTGGGGAGCAGAGCAGACTTTTTTGTCTAGAGCCACTTTTGCTCATTAAGAGAACTGTGGATAGGATTCAGACAGAAAGCAGATTAGGTATGTACAAAACGTATAGAAAACTGATACGTAACCCGAGTTCTAAATATAAATTAAAATCTTTCTGGATATAAGTAAATTGAGAAAAAGAAATTGTCGATCGTTTTTTCAAAATTTCAAAGTCGCACTTCCGAATAAATGACAAAAAAGATAGAGTGGATTAAACTACTGAACACAGGTCATGGATTCGAGCCTCGCCAACGGGGTAGGCATATGGAGTTTTCTGGGTTTTATTCACGTAAGTAACACTTAAATAGGGGCCAGTTCCCCGTAGACCGCCCGGGACGCATTTCCTCTCGGCAAATCGCCCATGTGTCGCGTTGCCGTAATCAAATAAAACTAATTATATATCCTTAACATCTTTTCTCTGTTCATAATTTAATAAACCGTAATCAATAATTACGAGACACGTTCAATAGAAAACGGGAAAAACATCATTAAAAGACAATCTGCCGAGAGTTGGGAGGATGAGCAATAGCGTACTAATTTTGACACACGACGATTCCAATTCAGAGGAATAATAAATGTGACTGGCAGCAATGTTAATACAAGTCACTTAGATTTTACAAATACGTGTGCCGGACTGTGAATGGCTCACATATTTGTAAAATCTAAGTGACTCGTACAACATGTAATTCAGATAAAACGGAAAAATCAATGATCTTATAGGGGGGTCGACTGTATGCGAGAACATAAGACAACGGACTGATCAAATAGCAGCTGCTCTCCAGCACTACACGATGCAAGTGTAGTGTCTGATTTTTTGACAAAAAAAAAAACAATCGATATCCATTAGCACATGCAGATATAGTAAGCAGAAGACTATATGAATTGCACATAGGTATAGGAATAGAGTTCTAATAAGAGCCACAGTTTTGTGGAAAATTATGGCATTCACTACGATTCCATCCGTAGAGAATGCGCCACAGAACCGTGGCTGTTTTTTGAAACCTTATAACTCTACTCATACCATTGTGTGCTGGCCGGATGGCCGAACGGTTAAGGTAGCAGCCTACGCTCTGGGGAACCTGGGATCGAATCCAGACGGGTCAAGGAATCCCCAGGAATTTTTCGGGGAGGTGATCCATTCGGATATGTCGAGCCCCGTCCCTCACCACCCGGTCGTCCCATTGTGAGCCTGGCCGAACCCATAATGGGCTTTCTATAAGAGGCCCTCTTAGTGCCCACAGGGCGGAAAAAGTATAAAAAAATACCTTTGTGTGAAATTCATATAGTCGTCTCCTTACTGTACTGTACTGTGCCTGCATGTGCCAATGGATGTGGATTGGTTTTGTGTCTAAAATTGGACATTATCCCGCTCTTGCCTCGTACACTGCTGGAGAAGTTCCACTATTTTATCGGTCCGTTGTTTGTCAGTCGCAGTTACTATTGCTTCTGACTTCGAAGTTTCATGTGTCAAAATTACTACGGTATTGCTCATCCTCCCGACTGTCAATAGCACTTTTCCGGTTTTCTATTGAACGTACTGTATCAAGTTTTAATGAAATCTCTATTACTTAGGCAGTGGCGTACCGTGGGTGACAGCCGCCCGGGGCGGAGGAAAATTTCGCCCCCCTTATTTAGGTATTTCAATTTAAAAGACTAAAATTCAGTTTCGTCACAGAACAAGCAATGAAAAATTCCGTGCTTGCGCAGCGACCTGTTTAAAATAGCTCTATTGGATATTAGTGGTGCATATGAACGCACATACAAGTAATACAATGAATCATACAAGTAAAAAAAAAGGTCAACAGGTTACGCAGGATTTCCTCGGATGAAAAAATTACTGGTTCACCCGGACGGCGAGCCGATTCCCGACTATCCGGACGATATCACTATCGTACGCGCGACACAAATATAGTTTAGGATGGTTCAAATTTTTACAAGATATTATTATTATTTATTGTGAAATTTTGCCGCCCTCTAAAAAGTGCCGCCCGGAGCGGGCCGCCCCTGCCGCCCCCACTACGGTACGCCACGTACTTAGGAAATGTATAATAGAATTTTATTAAAAATTCATTATATATTTTCTATTAAATATTTCGATTATAATACAATTCTTAAACATTCCAGAATTGAGAATATATTTACTGTACTAAGATTTGAGTTTTGCAATATGAGAACTAAAACTTAAAAAGCTGAGTGTTAATTTATATTTAATTTTAGTTTAAAATTAAACTATAAAATAGATATGATTTAGTGATTTCTGTATTATTAAAAATTCATTATGTAACCGTGAATCATTACATGATTCACGTTGCATGGCCTTGTCTAGTTCGTCCCATTTTGAAAAGCGTTTACTTTAATGACTTCATATCATAGCCATAAATTTCCTGTCGGTTCAAGGTTACTTGATTCGTCATTGTAGAATTTCTACTTACAATTTTCTATATTAAGAAGCTTAATCTGGCTTGCTTTAAAAAAAAGGAAAAACATTCATAAAAAAGAGAATTGTTCGAAAAGTTATTCTATATTAAGTTTCTTTCAACAACGAATCAAAATGATTTATATAGATCCATTTAATATACAAATTAAATCGTATGTTTAATATTAAAACACTAGATATACAATTTTAAATTATCCTACCACATTTGCAGTTTTCTGAAATGAAAATAAATGTAAATTAATAGCTTTTCGAAAAGAAACATAATGCGAAACATCATTACAGTACTTTTTAACGTTCTATTAAGACAATAAAGAGAAAAAAACTATATATTTGTTTTAGAGAAGTCTGTAATATAATATTTAAAATATGTCTGTACATTCTGTGTAATACATCGGACGTTGAAACTTAAGATTGAAAGAGTAAATATACACAGGCAATTCAACTTTTGTCCATAATTTTAATAATAGTGATGCAACTGTATACAGTTACATAGCCACATAGTCTCAACTTATGTTTTTCTTCCCTCTACGTAATCCCCTCTCCCACTGTCACTCCTCCGTGGTTTTGACAACGACAGTATACCTACAGAATAGAAGTATTTTGGGTGGTGTTGCAGTCATTGTATGACGCATTCGCTGACTTCAAAGTTCTTCATGCAGTGGCTCTTGTCCCCCAAGATTCCTGTCTCCCAGGACTTCTTTTAAAGGGAAATAATCGTACGGTTACAGATCCGGACTGTAGGCCGTGTGATTCAGAATTTCTTATCCAAGTCTATTACGCTCAGAGCCGTGTTCCGACACCAGTCAAAATAGTTACTTTTTGCATACATAGATAGCATCGTCGCTAAAATGATAGAAATGTCAACCTATCAATGTGTAGAGGAGAGAGAAAAAAACATAAATTGAGATTCTAACATACACAATTTCATCATTATTTTTGAAATTCCATAAAGAAGTTGAACCGTCCATGTACAGTAGTCCATCTTTACTGACGGCCGGGTGGCCGAGCGGTCAAGGTGGCGGTCTACCTCTCTGGGGACCCGGATCGGATCCGGACGGGTCGAAAAATTCCTGGAAATTTTTTGGGGGTGGTCCAACTGAATATGTTGACCCCGTCCCTAACTACCCGGCCGTCCCATTGTGGCCCTGGCCGAACTCATAATGGGCTTGCTCTTAGTGCCCACAGGGCGGAAAGAGTTTTAAAAAAAGTCCATCTTTACTCAAGGAAAATTTTTGAAACATACGTATACAAAATTGTGCTTTTTATATTCGTATACGACTTACGAATCTTTACGAATCGATAAGTAGCCCATAAATTCCATATAAGGAAGTAATCGATTATTCAATGCTTCGGGTTTCTACAGGTAAGAAATGGTTACGTTATATGGAAAGACAGTACACACTCATGTCCAAAAAATAAGCATAACCGTTTGTAAACGGGAGTCCAGGCACATTCTACANTGACAACAAAACTAGCCTTTACTGCCGTATTTGATAAAATAGCTTGATTTTTAAAAATAGCCTGTTGTTTTCCCAAGTTTTTCTCCATTTGATTAAACTTATCTATCCGGAGTTGTCCTGTTAAGTTTTTATATTGTTGTTCATGTTTTGTATCGTAATGCCTTTTTATGTTATATTCTTTTAATGTCGACACAGTCTCTGATCATATTAAGCATACAGCTTTATCTTCGACGAAAGTGAGAAAATAATCAGATTTCTACTTTTCTTGGAAATGCCTGTGCTCATCCGCAACCTTCCGTTTTTTTGTTTGCTTTTCCGACATGCTATTATGGATTAAAAATTTAAAAGTTAAAAAAAATTGTAGGAAAACTTAATTTTGAATAAAAAAACTCTAATATTACCTTTTTGACAATAATATTGCACTCATGCCTTTCAAGAAACACAAGAATTGCTAAAATTGCTAGTTAACAGGTTACCAGTCTGACTGATTGTGTGACAGAAGCAAACACAAACAAGCACAGACGCGGCGTGTTCGTATTGCATGTTTGAACAAGTTGCCAACAAGTGAGTAACCGTCACAAAAAATTGTTTCGGTTTAGTATGTACTACCATTTTATTATAATTAATTTTATAACAATATATTGATGGGAGAAAGTCGATAAAATAAATTCAATTTTAAAAATGCTTGGCGGGCCGCATAAACATGTTTAACGNAATTTATTTAAAATCGTGAAAATACCTGTAAAGTAATCTTTTCGTATTTTGTGACTGTCTAGATCTATAAATTAACAATGATGTATTTAATATTTATTTAAAATACAGTAAAACCTGTGTAAATTGGACTAGCAGAATATCGAATATTTTTTCCGGTTTAGCAAGTTTTCGTTTTAAACAGGTATTTTTTTTTTTTATCACAGAAAATCGTTGAGTTACGAAGAATTCTTTCCGTTTAGGCAGGTTTCTGTTTTATTAAGGTTCCGCTTTAAACAAGTTTTACTGTAATAATAATAACGATTTGTATATACAGTAGCTGTCCGATGTAAAAACTTTATACGATTATAAAATTTTAATGGAATAATAAATATATTCAATTAATTATGTATGTGAAATGTCTGATACATCAGTTTTATAACGATCAATGAAACTTGAAACTGTGATCGATCCACATATATGATAAAAATAATCATCATTTTGACTGTACTAAATTTATTTTTTTATTTAAATAATGATGATGATTTTTATTTTAATAGTAATAATAATTTAGCTAAAACTAAAAAGTAAACTTAGTTTTTTTATCTTATTTTATTGTCAGAAGAATTATTTTACAGTTATAAAATACTAGCCTTATATACTTTTTTCTATGAGTACATAAGATTGCATAAATGACTATAAATGTACTGTACTTAGATTAATATTTAGAATTATGGTTTCTTGTTTGTATTTTATAATATGTTTATTTCTTTTTAACAATTTCTTCAAACTTTTAAATTACTTATATACCTTTGCATTTATTTTGTATTATGTAGTTTCCATACATTTGCTTTGGTTGTCGAAGTTCGCTCCTCCTGTAACAATTACCAAAAGGTATTAAAAGATATTGGTTTTTATTTTATTAAAACTCTTTTTTCATCTCTCAAAATAATTTTACATTGTAGCTATG